TACACAAGCTAAATTTCAGTCAGTTGGGGTTTACATCTACTTTAAATTTGATATTGCTAACCTCCTATGCCAGCTAGAGTTGAAGACTGGTGAGTTGCATCATGGCACTGGCACTACTGTATGTCCAACTGTATTCAGGCCAATCCTTGTTCACCTCCGCTGTGCATTTCTCTTGTAATAACAAAGCCTGAATGTCCATTTCACATTTATTAAGAAAAAAACATTTCACACAAATCAAATGGATAAGCAATCGGTACATAAAATTCTGCCATGAAGCGTTTGCAGGTAGCGTCAGACAATGCAAAGTGACTTAAAAAGGGTGCAAACCTCATACAGTCAAAAGTACAGCAATGGTAGCATATGATCAAACAGATAAAACAACAACACTTAAAACTGAGCCCAAATCTTTATTTCTATGAGAATGTGTCAAATTAAATTAAGCTCATCCATAAAGCCAAAGCACATAATTAAAGCAAAGTGTCTGGCTTGCCGCCTGCCAACAGGACGGATTAAAAGAGTTTCACCAGAACAAGCAGCATCTTGTGCCTGGCCTCCCCCGAGGTGCTGCCAGTGCCGGTGAATTGACAGGTTACATCCTTGTCAGGTTTGTCTACGCTCATAAAAACAGCTGCAGTATTTAAAACATCAGTAAGTGGAGTAAAGTGAACCTGTCATGAACCAAAACACCTTAATAGGATGTGATCAAAACAGCCATTCTCTACCTCCCAGACTGCGTACTGGTTTTGGAGCCGTGAAGTGGAACCTTTCCAGGCTTCACTGTGTGTGACATCACCACTCATTATGTAGACTCATATTTCTTTTGAAAGGACTCTGGGACTATCCAAAAAAACGGAAAAGAAGCCACTCACAAATGACTTCTCTTATTACCTACCTCTCTGGCAGGTGCCGAGTCTCATCTCCACTTTCCTTAAGAACTCCAGCCACCCAAGAACCTCCTGCTGGAGGCCATTGCTCAGCAAGTGAGTGACGTTCGGACCAAGAAGTATGAGTCGAGTCGTAAGAGGGAGGAGCTTCTTTTTCAGTTTTTTGGATGTTGACAGAGTCCTTTTAAACCTGGCCATACACCTACAGATTTTCTAGGGTCAGATGGAAAAAGTGCAACAGAGTCCTCCATCTACGCTAAGCTGTGAGGATGGAGGAATCTCCTGCTGGGCCAAGCTTCAGTATCTTGCTAGTTGGCCCCACTGGCTCTCAAAATACCTGAACAATCTGGTTTGATGCAGGCATTGTTCAGGTGTTTTGACAGCCAGCGGGGCCGACTAGAATGATACTGAAGCTTGGCCCAGCGGGAGATTCCTCCATCCACAGTTTAGCATAGATGGAGGACTCTGTTGCACTTTTTTCCATCAGACCATAGAAAATCTATAGGTGTATGGCCAGCTTTAGGCATTGTTTCATATTTCCAAGTCCTTGAGAACCCTTCACAGGCCACGTTTTTAGGGTTTTCTTTGTTAAGCATGCAGACCATGTTGCAGTATGTGTACGTGCGTCCAGTGAAGCATAGCCTAAACCTATGACGTGTTTTGGGTACTCAAAGCTTGGAAAAGGTCATAACTGACTTTGTAGATAGTGTTACCTGTCTTGTTCCCTTATGCCTGCACAGGCTTTTCAAGTATGCCTAGTGCCCAAAAGGAAAATGTTCATATGTTGTTTCTTTCAACAAGGTGAACTGTGTGCACATCTATACTATCAGTCTGTAGCTGTGGTCACATCAAAGCCCCATTTGAACAATAATCTGTAGCCACAATCATTACAAAGCCTGTTTACCACTGAACTTGACCTATAATAAAATAAAATCTTCCTGCTCACCCATCTCCTTCAACTCCATGGATGTTAGAGGAGCACCAATATACCCATCTTGTAGAAAGTGCTGCTCTGGTCCCTCAAGGAGGCCAGTAAGCTTTGATCCTGTGACCTCTGCCAAAGGGTAGAATCATAGGCAAAGGCACGCACTGGCATATTTTGCCTGAAGGTTGAGATCACATGACCAAAGCATAGGCATCTGGCCATGCAGCTGGTGTCAGAGCCCGGAGCAGAGTTTTCTGCCAGATGGGAGTTTCAGGGCTTCATTAAACATCAATGGGTTTAAGGGACAGGAGTAATCTAGGTCTGCTTTAAGGGAACAAAAAATTGTATAATTACAAATGGCAAAGTTGGTGATTTTTTTTTTGAATAGGTCAATCATAGTTGAACATTGTTCCAACTTTAAATGATATTAGCCTGTTTTGTATAGACACTCCCTCAACCTATTATCTTGAACTGTTGGGTTGGGTTTTGGAGCAGATGTACAAGTACCATGACATGTTAGCTGTTTAGACTCAGCTCTTCCATACCCTGGTCATAGGATTCTACTGCAGCCAGAGTGCCATTCTAGATCATATTCCAGGACACTTAAAAACAATCAAGCCTCTTTAATAATAATTTGCAAAGCAACAGCAGCTGCAATTATACATGCTGACAACTCAGAGCAATATTCTCATTACTGATGTGTATTGCACCTGGAAAATGAATACAAATTAAATATTTTTGTGTATGTCTACATCCATGTATTGCTCTCATTTCTTCTTGGGCTTTAAAGTAGAGGTAAAGGCTACTCAATAACCTACCCGTTTAAATGTCGCCTCCCTATTGCTCTCCCACAAACATTATATAATACATTTTGTCATATAAATACCATTTTGAAAGTTTGTCTATGCAGTCATGTGACCCCAAAACTCCGGTTAGTCTGTGTGTTCTGTGGAGCGCCAACAACACTACTCAACTGGCAGTCCTGTGATCCCATAAAGTGGTGACTGGCATCCATAGCTCTAAAGGCATTGTTGGCCAGGAGAAAGTTCACACTGATTAGCCTCACCAGCCACAATGAAACGAGATTGAGCAGGAGCTTTGTGGTCACATGATTACACAGAAAAAGATATATAGATGGCAATTTATTCAAACATTTGTAGGGAATAGCAGAACGATGGGGAGGCAACATTTGATAGGTGGGTTATTTTGTAGCCTTTCCTTCTACTTTAATGTAACTCGTATCAAGACCACAGAAGCAGTCTTGATATCAAGAACAACATTGTTAAAATAGACAATGACAACCAAATGAACAGGGGCAGAGCCCGGAAATGTAGCGGGAGACCTCATTACTGAAACTCCCAAGAAATATAAGATGTGACACACTTATAACCAAACATCCAATCCAATGATACTCGTCTGATATTGCTCTTACATCAGATTAGTAATCTTTTCAGCAGAACATCTACAATCCAACAGATTACCATTATCTGTAGCCGGTATACCCATTTACCAAAATAGCTCTGCCCCTTATTAAGCCTGTGCCTGTAATATGGCAAGTGGTACTAATAGATCACAAGAGCAACGCTTTCTATGTCTGCCAAGCACTCCATATTTATCATCTGCTGTTAAAAGGACCGGGCCAAGCTGTTCCAGTGTGCTTTTTACGCTGACATATTAGTGAGACAAAGGCTGCTATTCCTTATGTCACAGACAGGGCTGGGAGATAGCGGCTCAGGGAGAGCGTGCACACAGCTATTTAATAATGCAAATCTCAACAGCACAACAGAAAGCGCTCCTAAATCTTTGCTACCCAGGCTACCGCTTTCATCGCTGGCCTTTGAAGTTGGCATTGTGAAAACAGCAATCTTCAAGCGATTACACCTGCCTTAAAATTGGCATGTCACTACATGGGAGACATCATGCTGGAAAGGAGGAATCGCGAGGGTAAGAAAAAAGACTTTTTTGATCGAACTGTTAATGTTGCCTAAGCAGCACTCTGAAAATGTCTATCTTTTCTCTGAAATTCCTCATAAAAATTCACAATGCACCTCACAGGGTGCCTGTGCACTTCTGCCTCATAGCTGTATATCTGCAGTGTGAGATCTGAGGCACTTCTGCCCTGACTGCTAGTTTCAGGAGACTGGGAATGTTTATTGTATGATGGCACTGCTCTGATGTTCGCTGTTCTCATTGCCCGAGGTTCTGACATGAGATAGCAAAGCCCTACCAAGTTGGCCACCTCCACCCATAGACAAGGCAGAACAAGGCATGGCAAGTCAGTATGGAGAAAAGATCAGCTGCAGGGAGACAAGCAACTGGTTACCGGTCCTTAGCCCTGTTCCTCTTTAAACTCTATTTAATCTTGTTTGCATGTTCGAGGGATAACGTTAAAGTTATCCTTTAAAGCCTAATTATGGCTCATTAAAGGATATGTGCACTTTCAGACGAAGAGCACTTATCCTTATGATCACTTTGCCCTGACCTAAACCATCCCAACCCCCTCCACAGATGCATACTAACCTCAATCCAATGGCCGTGGCCTCCAGTGATTGTCTATATCTTGGCCGCGCCTGTACATCACCGCCCTATAGACTTCCATGGGGCTGTATTTCCCACCGTATCCTGCCTTGGAACACAGCCCCATAGAAGTCTATGCAGCTGCAGAGCGAGACTCACTGGAGGTCATGGCCATCAGATCAAAGTATGTATGCATCTGTGGATGGGCAGGGGGGGTTAGTTTAGGTCTTAGGAAGAGCAGTTACTCTTTAAGCTCATTTTATCTTGTTTGCATGTTAGGGGGGAGTCATTTAAGGGATAACCTTACAAAAGGAAAATGTTCCTTTAAAGCCTAATTATGGCTCATGAAGTATATATAAATATTACAAAGACCATAGCCGAGCCACAGCGTCAATTCAAAAACCCCTTCTCTGGATTAAAATGTTGTAGGTTCTAGTTGTTACTATAATGTTAATTATTGGATTGTTATAATCATTTTCTTGACTTAAGTATGTGTGGCTTTAAGTAGATGTAATATTGCCCCTTTAATTAATTCCACTCAATGCAGCCCACCGATTCATTTGAGTTAAACATTTCGGTCAACAAAAACAGCACTAGGAGTACTTATGTCATAGTTTCTGGAAATGGCCATAGTCAACTTTTGAAATAAAAAAAATCCATCTCCTCTGCTCTCCTCTCCTCTCCAGCACCAGGTCTCCCACTATAGGACAAGAACATTCCAAAGTACACTTGTTTTCCCTTGCAATATAAGTAGCCTGGACCAAAAGTTTGAAGAATGTGTCAAGTCGCTGCTATAATTTTGAGGACATAAAAGCTCAAAGTAGCTGAAACCGCAGTGATGTAATGGGCTCACTGTTGGCTCAGCTCAAAACAGTTCCATCAGCTAGGAAAGTGTGACAGGTACACTTTAAAGAAAAGTTTACTTAACAATTATAATGCCAAAATCTACGAGAGTTTGTGTTCACCCCGAACCAATTAATAACCTCTTAAAGCGATAAGCAGTATTGGTCTCTGATCTTTGGAGCATTGCGATCCCTTGAATTCCCGTCACCAGATTCAGAAAGCAGGATGTGATATTTGGCTGAGGACGTTTCAGTTCTGTGCAGCGTGCGGACCCTGAAAAAGGAGACAGAACAGATCAGAGCCTTGCACAGTCTGGGGACGGATCACAGATGCACGGCAAAGCCAGTGCTAAGATCATCCAGAATACAGTATCCTTCCTACATCGGTTTTCTAAAGTCTGGATTCTGAGGGCCAGAAATTAATTCTGTCATTCTTTCACATCTTTTTTTAACAAGCGGACCAGCGTTGAGAAGGCAGCCTTATGCAAGTGTCTAAAACAACGCATAAAATAGGCAGCAAAAAAAATAAAGCTGAACTTGGGTTAAGTTAAAAAAAAAACTACCCTTGCAGTGGGGTTCCCCCCTCCTCCCCTCCCCATAGCAAGGGTTAAAAGGAGGAGAACTATGAGGTGAGTGCTTTTCACTTACCTCATAGTTCTAGCCGACCTGTGACAATGAGACTGTCACAGGTCGGCTCAGTAGATCGGGAGGTGAGCGAACACATACCGGCGTTCGCTCACCTCTCGATCCTGTCACGGCTCTCTGCCGTGACAGGGGAGGGGCTGGATTCCCCTCTCCCCGCTCCGATCTGCCAGCGCTGACAGGCGGAACGGACGGGGGAGGGGGCGGGTACAGTTGGCTCTGCCTCTCTGTATACTGAGCCTAGGGTGACGGGAGAACGCTAGTTTGTGTCCTCCCGTTACCCTAAGCAGAACCTAGGCGGAAAAGCCCTGACCCCATAGTTCTCCTTTAAGTGTTCATTTTTGCCCAGGGTACCATTAAAAAGCACTTTTACTTATCTAATCCCTCACTCCCCCCAGCATCCAGCATTCTCCTCCTTTTGACACTCCAGGTTATGTGTGGGCCCGCGACGTCTTCGCTTACAATGCAGGACTGCTGGTCCTAAAATGTACGTGATGACATCGGAGTGTGACCACTAGACAGAGCGCCAAAGAGAACGCTTCAGCATACTGGTCGCATGGAAAAGAGGGAGGCCTGCCAGAGCGTGGGGTTAAGGTCAGTAAAATTGGTACCCTAGGCAAAAAGTGAGCATTTAACCCTTGCAGCGGTGGGGGGAGGGGGGAGCCCCGCTGCAAGGGTAGTTTCCTCAGAGTTCCGCTTTAAAGCGTAAGGAGATCTAACAGACCTGTGTTTAGTCCATTTACAAGTGTAACGGATACGAAATCTAAGACTCTGGCAAATAATATGCAATTAAAAATCAAACATGACTGTAGGCCATTGGGGCAGCTGGGAAATCAGGTGCAGAAAAGTCTTCACCAATATCCAGGAGAGCACCTTTTGAATTTACGCCGGGCTCCCCATTGGCGATCACCATGGCCTACTCTAGATACTCTGAATGGAATCCCTGTAGTAACTAAGAAAGCTTAACAGGCTAATAGCTTAATATAAACATTTTCCATTATTTATGTTTAGCTTATTTAATATAATTAATAGATGTGGTCTTTGATTTTTGGATTTATTGAATGCTTTAACATGCTTTATCTCGTGCAATGCAGGAAGGGTCCATATTAATATTACATTTGAGCGCAATAGAGAAATAAACCGATAAGTGAAATTAAACTGACCGGCTCTGGCGGTCACATGACCAATGGCTGCGTGTCCGAGGTGGTGCTGCTGACGGACTGCAGGCTACCCTTGTAGATCGGGGTCCTCTTCTCGGCATCGATCCTGTGATTGGAAAAAGAGTGGGTAATTGTTAGTATATGTTGAGGCTCATTAAGGTTCGTTACGTCTAAGAGTAGAGGGATAAGAAGTAATTCCGAAACCCCTTGCTCCAGCAGGTTCCTTCCCATCTGTAAGGCCTACTCTCTAGCGCAGGGGTGGACAAGTCCCATGAGGCATTGCAAATTCCCACAGCCATGACTCCCAAAGACAGATGCCTGATGTTATTTGCAGATTCACCACAGCTGGAGGGCCGGAGTTTGCCCACCCCTGCTCTAGAGGCTCCTGGCTGCACTCACCTGCTTGGTAACAGGCAAAAAGGATGCAAGCAAGCAGGGCTAGAGTGGGCACCATACTTAGCCCTCATCACTGGGAGAACTAACAACATCATGAACCAGAATAATGGTCATTATTCCAATACAGGTGCTCTTTAACTCTTCGGCTGCAGGCTCAGTTTTTTTTCGCTAACTCTCATGCAGAATGAAGTTCACACTATGGATGTAAAAGCGTTCCAAAATACCCAACCAATAATAGACTTTTGTGACAGGTCTACTTTAAAACTAATATAAAAGGTGAACAGACAACCGCCATGCCTCTCTGATCTCACTCACAGGCTGATCTGTGGCTTCTTCAGTTGCTGTCTGCGATGACGGAGGATGATGACCAGGAAAGTGATCAGCAGGGTGGTAAGCAGTGCTCCAGGAAGAGCGATGTACAAGAGGATGTCTCCCACGTTCAGGTCAACACTGGAGCCTAGAAAAAAAATATTTTTGGAGCATGTTACGACATACAGCATTATAGTGCACCGAAAGTAAAAACCTTTGTTGAGGGGGGGAAAAAAAAACTCTTCGAGACATTTAAAAACATTGCAAGAATCCCAGCCAACCTCAAGCAAGTGCGAGGCTCTGCCTGCTATTCTCACTGCTGTACATAAATTAAAGCTGCTCGTTGAAAGCAGTGGGTCCAATCACACAAGTAAGAAATGCAATATCAGGGGATGTTCAGTACATGGACAGTGAATACAATGTATTAAAGAACTGCCTTTATCTACTTTCAGATGATAACATATTTTAACATTTTTTTAACCTGTTCGATGAGTGCAAACAAATATCTGATGACCTTGCCAGAAATCCAGTGAGCTTGTAAATTCCTTTGCACTCTGCAATGGTATCTCAATCAGCAATCAACCCATCCCAGATCACCCAATGTTACAGAGAAGAAGAGGGGGTATTTTGTAATCCTAATACAATAGCTGTGATATTACATCTACATTCTTGGGTTTAGATATAGTTTATTGTTATACTGCAAGTAGATGATTAATGCTTGCCTTGCTACTATAAGAGGTTACAACAAAAACAAGAAATACCGGGGTTTAGGAGAGATATGACACCATGGCTTGAATTTTGATAGAATGTTTATTTTTATTTTTAAATAACATCTGTGTTGCAAATATACATACAAAAAAAAAAAAAGAGCAACAAGCAGTTGCAACCAGTTTAAAAAACAATGTTTAGACCAAGAGCATGCTCTTGGGCTAAGCATGCTCTTGGTCTAAACATTGTTTTTTAAACTGGTTGCAACTGCTTGTTGCCCTTTTTTTTTTGTATGTATATTTGCAACACAGATAGAAAAAAATTCTATCAAACTTCAAGCCATGGTGTCATTCATATCTCTCATAAACCCCGGTATTTCTTGTTTTTGTTGTAACCAATTATATTGGAGGGGGAGAGATCACACCTGGGGGGCCATTGGGCTAGCTACTCACGCTTGTCTTTGCAAACTTGCTACTATAAGAACAATGGATGGGGAGTGTTGCAGCCGGGGAGATTTCAGCAGGTACTAACCAAGAACAAAATATGGAGATCAGGACTCTTGACTGCTAGTCATCTGGCTGTCGTGTTGACCCTCTGACTGAGTTCCTGACCTGCAGAAAGTGCAAGAAGTCATTATCTGCATAAGTGATCCTGGTCATCAACTGAAAGGATTGAAGCACCAGTGTCAATATGACAGTCATCAGTATCTTCAATTAGAGTTCAGCTGGGAGTAAGTACTGGGTGGCAGGATGAATGAGCTCCATGTGCAGGAGTTACATCATCCCAGCCCAGCCAATCAAGGTGGCTAAAGACTTCAGATTGGGAAAGGAAATAGAAGCACCATTGAAGGAGCAACACAGCACTGGAGGGATGGACCTTACAAGGTTCAGGGTGCCATTATGTGCATGATGTACATGTTGTACATACTTGCACATTATGAGTAAAGGTCCCAGGGGACCGGAAAAGTTTAATTCTGCATTAACCGACCAAATCGGACCAAATAAGAGAATTGCATTGTCCCCATACCCTTTAAAAAAAAGTTCATAATGTTGGGAATGTAAAGTCCTTCATGCTTACACATACCTAAATGGGAATGACATACTAAGAAGTAAGGACACAACACTAGTGAAATCATGTCTCCAGACCGCGCTCACATGAGTGTACATATTTCCATGATGGCATGACCTTTGCAGATCAATTCTGAGGCCTGCTGCTCAGACATGCACGAGTCAAAGAATGATGATGTCCACTCTTCCACATGACGAACACAAGCCTTTAAAAATACATCACCTCTATGAGCAGGCTCGAACTTCAAAGACTATGTGAAATTTCATTATGTCTTCTGTAAGGTGCTTCAATGTTAACATATAACCGAGCCTGGGCTGTATGGCATTGGGCCGTGTCTGTGAAGGTGCAGGTATTCCTAAGCATGCACGGGCTCAAAAGAAAGCTGCATTGCTCACCTGTGATCATGTACATATCAGGGTCCTTGGGGGTCACGCGGAGCTCAAAGGATCTGGTCTTGACCAAACTGTACATGTCTGGATGTCGTGCCTGGCACATATACTTTCCTTCAGAGCTTTGATCAACATTTCTGATGGTGAGGGTGTCAGAGGGTAAAATCCAGTCGCTACTCTGCAAGGGAAAAAAAAATCATCAAAATACAGCTATGTAGCATTATAGGTATACTCAAGTTAACCCTTTTTGGCCATGGGTAATAGAAATGTAGATGCCCAGATCAAATTTAGCAGCATTAATGTGTGCCTCTTGACTATAACTCTATGACCAATTTGCCTGTTTGACAGCGGGGGCCTGAGTACTAGCAATGCACACAGTTGCACATTCCTAATTCTTGGCTACAATGTTAAATAAGGTGGCACGAGTCATTGTGCGTGAGGACTAAAGGATAACTATGAGGTAAATGCTTTTCACTCACCTCATAGTTCTAGCTGACCTGTGACAATGAGACTGTCACAGGTCGGCTCAGTAGATCGGGAGGTAAGCGAACACATACCGGCGTTCACTCACCTCTAAATCCTGTCACAGCTCTCTGCCGTGACAGGGGAGGGGCTGGATTCCCCGATCCGCCAGCGCTGACTGGCGGAACGGACGGGGGAGGGGGCGGGTACAGCTGGCTCTGCCTCTAAATAGGCAGAGCCAGCTGTCAGTCACGCAGCTGGGCGGATCCCGGCATAATTGTCTGGATCCGCTTCAGCTGCGGTATACTGCGGCGTCTCAGTATACCGCGAGCTACAGCTCGCGGTATACTGAGCCTAGCGTGACGGGAGTACGCTAGTTTGTGTCCTCCCGTTACCCTAAGGAGAACTATGGGGAAAAGCCTTAACCCCATAGTTCTCCTTTAAGAAGGCATATTGCAGGTCAGGAAGTGGATAAAGCTGAAAATGTAACCCCGAGGTGCATACAGGGTGCTCATTCTGCCTAATCTCTAGTGCTGTAGTGCACCGGTCCATCCCACTCTGTTCTATTGTTAATCTGGTGATCTGGGAACCCCCGTTTGTGTTGCACTAGATGAATTCCAATACACATCCTCCTACAGACTGTTTGCTGTTTCCTAAAGAAAACCAGATTTAAAAAAAAAGTGTCAGTACTGACAAGTTTATTCCAGCTATCAAATATAAACCTGCCTATAAATATAGCTGGCAATGCATGTAGCATTAGCATAAAGAGAGCAAATTTGACAAGGATTCAGGAAGGACATCTTAAAAGGCCCTTTGAGGTGCTTTCTGGATTTTCTGAATTATATAGAATTTATGACAAATTAAGGGAACGCTCTTGACTTGCAGTTTTTGCCAAATGGCATTAGTAGCTCCCTGATTGGTTTCAGGTCATCTAGAATTGCTCTTTTGGCTGTTCATCCATAAGTTTCCGCATGTTTCCATGATAAGCTGCAATGTTATTGGTTGCTATGGACTACTACACTTAGACCTGGCTCTCAATCAGCATTCCAATTTATCCCAAAATTGTTCAGTAGTGTTGAGGCCAGGGCGCTGTGCAGGCCATTCATGTTCCTCAACACCAAACTCCTCAAACCATGTATTTATGGAGCTGAATTTGTACCAACGGTCAACTGTATTATTATTATACAGGATTTATATAGAGCCAACAGTTTGAGCAGCGCCAAGGAAGGCATTACGGTCACAATACCATTCAAGACACGATGGTAAGGAGGGCCCTGCCCCTGAGGGCTTACAATCTAAAAGGGAGGGGCCAGTGATACATGAGGAGGTAGCTGTGTGGGGATAAATTGTCTTGTCTAAATCATCAGAATGTGATGGTTGAGCGGTTAGGTTGAGGCGGGATAGGCTTCCCTGAAGAGATGAGTCTTAAGGGATCAGCTAAAGGCAGTCAGACTGGGAGACAAGTGAACAGGTTGGGGTAAAGAGTTCCAGAGGATGGGAGAGACTCTGGTGATGTCCTAGAGGGGAGTGTGGGAGGAGTTGATGAGGGAGCTGGAAAGCAGGAGGTCTTTTGAAGAGCTGAGGGGACGGTTAGGGTGATAGTTACATAGTATTTGAGGTTGAATAAAGACATTAGTCCATCATGTCCAACCTATTAGGATCTCATTCTTAGGAGTACTTGTACCCCTGGATATTACGGTCCCTTAGGAAATCGTCCAAAAGTTTCTTGAACAATTCCACACTCTTAGCTGAAAATCACTGCCTGTGGCAGTGAGTTCCAGACCCTAACCGCTCTGTGAAGAACCCCCTTCGCCCCTTGTGCTGGAATTTTTTTTCCACCAATTTTACATGGTGGCCTCTAGTTTTTGTAATGGAGTTAATTTTAAATAGTTTGTCGCTGATGTTGCCTTCACAGTTGAACATCTTGTACATCGAAATCATATCCCCCCTTAATCTCCTCACCTCCAATGTGAACATGTTTAAATACATGATACTTTGAGACAAGGTTTGAGATATAGCCGGGGGCAGAGTTGGGGTTGCAGACACTGAGCGGTTGGTCAGGTGAATGAGTCTGGCAGCTGAATTCATGATAGACTGAAGGGGGGATAGCCTGTGTAGAGGTAAGTCAATGAGGAGGGAATTGCAATAGTCAAGACGAGAGATAACAAGTGAGTGGATGAGTAATTTAGTGGTTTCATTGGTGAGGAAGGGGGCGTATTTTGGAGATGTTGCGAAGCTGAAGGCGGCACTATTTGGATAGTGATTGGATGTGGGGAAGAAAGGTGAGGTCCGAGTCAAGGTTGTAGGTGCACAATTGCCTAAGCTATCTTTGTACCCTTCAATGGAAACGCCTGAACTCAATAGTTGGGTGCCTACATGCTTCTTGCCATTTCAACTGTGCTGGAGATGTTCTGTAATACTGTACATACAGCATGATAAAGCCTTGGTTAGTGCAATGGGGGGG